GGGCGGGTTCCCAGCAGCTCTGGCCACACACGCGGAGTCCAAACACATCATTAGGGCTGGAGGTTTTCACTGGGAATCAAAAGGGCTTGATCCAGCCTCAATTAAACCAGGAATAGGCTGAGGAGATGGAGGCTYCAGGGTGGAAGCCACCACAGCTCTGAAATTACACCAAGAGCTGCGTGTTTTCCCAGGATATTTTAAAGCTGAGGCGATGCCCAGTTCCAGGGAGCCACACGTGAGCAGGGAGGCCACGCTGGGGCTGCACGAGGTGTTTCCTCACTGCATCCAGAGGACACAGGATGATGCTGCTGCTGGGCCAGGCTCAGGGAATGGCATTTTGCTTCCCAAGAGTGGCCTGGAACCAGTCTCTTACCTGTTCCCCATCCCACTCCAGCCGAACGGGGACATTTGGAGGGACAAGGAGCTGCGTGGGAGTTCAAGTGACACTGCAGGTCTCACCTGAACCCTGTGAAGCCGAAGAGGATGACCTGCAGGAATCCCCCCATCCCCGTCAGGAAGTTCACAGCTCCCGAGCCRTCCGAGTTCTCCACCCAGACCTGCYCCAGCAGGAGAAGGAGACACTTTAGGGGTCAATTTGGGGCACTCCAGGCGGTTTTGGGGTTTCAACCCCACAGCCTGGGAGCAGGGGGGACCTGCAGCCCTGCCACTCACCTTGAAGGGCTCTGTGATGTTGCTGAAGCACTTTTCCAGCTGGGTCCAGGCTCTCTGYGGCTCCTTGAGCTCCAGCCAGCCCATGGCAAACATGCTCTGCCAGACAGGGGACGGTGACAGCGCAGCAGGGCAGCGCCACCTCTGCCATCCCACTGATCCACRGGGAACATTGCCAGCGCCCATCCCAGCTCTGCAGTGTCCCCTGGATGGATGGAAACACCCCCCGGGGGTGCATCCCAGGCCGGGCTCTGCCCTCTCCTCACCCAGGTCATGGCTGGTCCCGCCGGGTCGGTGATGGGCTCRTACATCTCCAGGTCGTTCCTGCGCACCTCGGCACTCATGGGGTGCATCAGGGGGAAGCCCAGCAGGACCACGTCTGCCTGTTTCACCGGCTCACCTGGGGACAGGGCTGCTCAGACAGGGCCAGCTGCCATATTTCCAAGGTTTTGAAGCTCACTGATGAGAAACAATCCAGTGAAAACCACCCCACCACAGCGGGGACTCTCCTTCTGCCATTCCCAAGTCTGAACCAGTCAGAATTCCGCTCCTTCTGGGATTAAAAGTGCAATCCACGGCCATCTCCAGGGGCTGACACCTTCCCWGCTCACCTGGGCTGTAGCCATCGTACTCAGGGTGATACTTCCTCTCCTCATCAAAGGGCACTTTGATTTTCCTGGCAYGCTCCTCCCACTCCTCTGGCACCGGCAGCAGCAGCTCCCGAGCCATGTCAGCGGCAAAATTCAAGCTGGGAAGGAGAAGGAACATTTYCTGTCAGGGGTGGGTGAGAGTGAGAGCAGAAAGGGGACAGAAGGGGTCGCAGAAAACGCTGCTGTGGGAGAACAGGGGCGCAGAGATTGAGCTAGGGGCAACAGCTTCCATCACAGAGACGGGAGCCTGTTTCTCTGGCTGGGGATGTCTCTCTCCAGCTGGCTTAGAGCACAGACATCTCCTGGAATGCCAAGGGAGAAGCCCCCCGTGAAGGGAGATCCTGCACTGAGCAGTTTGGAGGAGCTGGGGTGAGCCCCCACTCCCTCCTCTGACTGCAGAGGGGTGACAGGGAGAGAGGTGTGAGGAGAGGGAGGAAGCCCYGCTGCTCCCCACCCCTGCAGAGTGCCAGACAGAGGAGAGCCGGGCTGTGCTTCCAGCCGCTCCCAGGGAGGTGTTACAACCATTACCTGTGCTGGGCCACGGCGTTGGTATAGGCAGAGTTATCCACATGGCTGTGGTATTCGTCCGGGGGCATGACACCTGAGGGGACAGGACACRAGGGGACACTCGGCACACCCAGCTGGCTCTGAGCCTCTGCTTTCCACGCCCTCCCCAGGGCAGAGGTACCTCTGATGTGGTAGAGCTGCTCCTCCTCGCTCCACACCATCCTGCTGCACCAGTACTGCGCCACAGCTTCCACCAGCTCCCAGCCACCGTCCTCCCGGAACAGCTTCAGGTCCTGGGGGAAAAACAGGGCTGTGAGGGGCTCTGTGCCAGACCCAAAGCCAGCAGGGGGATGGAGAGGAGCTCTGAGGAGATGGAGGGAGCAGGAGGAAAAACTGGCCTGGCTGGAGCCAACAGGATGCTGAGACACCCGCGGGAGCAAGGACAGAGGAGGCAGAGCTGCAGGAGGGAGCCTGCGGAGGGGAGAGAGTAGAGTTCCTCAGAAAAGGGACAGTGACAGTCTCTAGGTGTCCTGCCACGGGCCATGAGGTGCAGCACCCTCCCTTTACCTGCGTGGTGCGGTAATACTGCTCAAAGGCCAGCAGGACATCGCCGGTGACATGGATTTCCTGYGCTCCGTAGATCTCCTCGGGACAGACTTCCCGACCAGTGGCTGCGCTCTCCCACGGGAACTTCGCACCCTGCCAGGAGAAGACACCCCTGAGCACCACCGAAACAGCCTGGGATAGCCCTGGGGACAGGGGCCGGTGCCACCCCCGGTGTCCCCGTCGCACCTCGTAGCCCTGCTCCCGCGCGTTGCGCCTCGCTCCCTCCAGCGTGCGGATCCGGTAGCGCAGGATGGCGCGGGCAGCCTCGGGGCGCAGCAGCAGGATGTTCGGGAACATCCAGGTGTCCTGCCGGGCCGGGGGGGACGGGATTGGCCGGGGGGCAAAGCACCCAAATGCTCCCGCCAGCTCCACCCTGTGAGTACCCCGCCATCCCGATGGAGGGATGGAATCTCCTCCATCCCTGTTAAAGGGCATTCTGCTCCACCCCCGTTAAAAGGCAGTCTGCTCCATCCCGATGGAAGGATGGAGTCTCCCCCATCCCAGTTACAGGGCAGTGTTCTCCATCCCGACGGAAGGATGGARTCTGCTCCATCCCTGTTAAAAGGCAGTCTGCTCCATCCCAATGCAGTCTGCTCCATCCCAATAGAGTCTGCTCCATCCCTGTTAAAGAGCAGGCTGCTCCATCCGGATGGAATCTGCTCCATCCCTGTTATAGGGCAGTGTTCTCCATCCCCATGTAGTCTCCTCCACCCCTGTTACAGGGCAGTGTGCTCCATCCCGACGGAAGGATGGAGTCTCCTCCATCCCTGTTACATGGCAGTGTTCTCCATTCTGACGGAAGGATGGAGTCTCCTCCACCCCAAGCCCCCAGCTCAGCACGGCCCCCCTCACCTGGTCCCAGAAGATGTGTCCCCAGTAGTCCTCGCCGCGGCTGCCGTTGGACAARCCGCCGGGGCTGATGCCGTGGAACGGGAGCTCCGGGCAGTCCCGGGGCGGGATGGCGCTCAGCAGGTAGAAGAGGCAGCCGTGCAGCGCCTGGCGCAGGGCCGGGGGCCCGTCCAGCCGCACGGAGCAGCCCCGGCGCAGCTCGGCCCAGGCACGGGTGTGTGAGCAGAGCAGGGTCCCCTCGGCTGCCAGCGACAGCCCCGCGCTGTAGCTCCGCTGCGCCTCCTCCTCGCTCCCCGCCACGGCCACCAGCAAGTCCCAGCGCCGCTCCCGCTCCTCCCCGCCCAGCGTCAGCCACTGCGGGATGGGGGTCCACAGCATGTGCACGGCGGGACGGGGGCCCCCCTCCACCTCGGGAACCAGCGTCCGCCCGTGGATGTAGCTGCAGGAGCGGGGAGTGAYGAGGGAAGGTGTTTGTTCCCGATGTCCTGTCTAACCCCGCCTTTTGGCAAGGGAAAGCCACCACAAAYGAGTCTCCAGTCCCAGGATTCCAGTTCTAAAGAACATTCCCTCCAAACTTCCCGTTTTCCYCAACCTCTCTTCTTTGGAATCACATCTAGACCCCGCTTTGGAATCACCTCCACTGCTCTTACATGTCAGCGTGAAGCATCATTCCGGAGTTGAAACTAATAAAAATGTTTCTACACTTTGTTTCAGGGATTTCTTTTAGGGAAAAGCAGGACGTGCAAAAGCCTCCACCCCCCTCAGCATTGCAGCCCCGCTCCAGCCTTATTCCCCAAGGGAGAGCAGGGTGGGCTCAGGGCAGGGATCCCCGTTCCCCACACTCACTGCGCTCCCTGGAAATCCGGCCCCGGGGTGAGGTCCAGGTCCTGGCTCTGTGGCACAAACAGGCTCTGGAGCTGGAYGGTGATGGGATGTGTGGAGCCATCCAAGCGGCGGATGGTGATGCTGGAGGCCATCAGGTGCACCAGGGAGTAGTGGGCAAAGAGCTGGTGGGTGGCCGTGTAGCCAGGGGCCCGAATGGTGTGGCTGAAGGTGCCTGCAAGCACAGAAGGAGTCACCAGCCTTTGGAAACCCTCGGATTCCCACCTCTGCCCTGCCTACTGCTCCTACCAGCCAAGGAATTGCTTTTCCCGGGTCAAGATCTGGTTGTGGACTGGACAGCACTGCTGACACCGAGCCTGGCCAAGCTGCTAAGGGATGGCCTGTGCCACCAAACGTTTTATCTGGCTCTGTGATTAGAGTGTCTGCTGAGCCTGGCCCCAGCAGGCATTGAGCTACAGCCTGAAAATCGCTTATTCCCACACAAAAGGGGAATTTTCTGCTTGTTCCAGAGGAACAGCACCCCGAGGCRAACAGAAAATGAGGAAAAGGAAGATGTGATTGAGCAGAAGAAGCAACAAAAGCAGAGAGAACCGACCCCCTGGCAGAGCCGAGGGGAAGGTCCCTGCTCACCTGTCCAGGTGTCCAGGGTGAAGCTCTCGGACAGGCTGCGGGCACCGGGCGCTGCCATGCGCAGCCCCAGCGGGCTGGGGACATCGGCGCGGTGCGTGTCCCCCGCGGCCCCGCTGTACACGCCGGCGGCGTGCAGGGTGTCCCGGAACACACGGGTACCCAGGAAGGCATTGGTCAGTGTGGGCAGCAGCCGCGGGTCCGTGGGCAGGGCTGTGGCTGTGAACACGCCGGGATTGCCCTCGCCAGGGTCACCATCAGCCATCGCTGCCACCCCACCTGCGGAGCTGCTGAGGGGACAGAGCGCGGCCCCGCTCGCTGTCACACCCCGCTGCCACCAGCACACTCTGCCCGTTTTAGTGCCTGCTCTGGTCACTTCCAGCGGTTTCGCCCATCCCAGCTTCCTCCCAGAAACCCCTCCACTTCTTCACTCCATCTCCAGCTGTCCCAAACCCCGACAGCTCACAGCCTTCATCACTTCTCAGCCTCSCCCCTCTTCCTCCTCCACTGCCGTGATGGGATCGCACCAGCCTCTCCCAACACACACAGCCACCTTCCCCAGCCGGCCTTCTCTTCCTCCCAGGGCTGTTCTGTGACATTTGAAACCCTCCTGATAGTTCCCCCTCTTCCAGTTCACCTCTGTTCCTCCTCCCTCCTGCAGCTCTAGCTCAACTTCTGGGGGCAGGACCTTTCTATTCCATTGATTTTTACACAGAATTATATTTATGTGTGATTTATAAACATGTCTATAATTATACACTAAAAMCACGTACAGACACAGACACGTGTGAGCAGCCCCCACYAAAAGGGATCTGCAGCTGKCAATGCCAGGAAAAARATGGGAAAAACAGGAAAAACCCAGGAATGAAGAAATGAGGCTCTGACAGCCTCCGAGCAGAACTGGGACTCCCACCGGGGTGACACAGGGTCAAGGAAGGTGCCCAGCCCCCAAATCCCTCCCTGACAGCAGCCAGATACAGGAACCCTCAGGCTCAGCTTGGATTCCTCGATGGGACTGAACTGTGAGGGAAATCTTGCCTTCGGGGGAGAYGGAAAATCCCAAACCCAGCCCAAGCCCCGGGGTGCGGAAGGGAGGAGGTGGGTCTTGCCTTTGGTCCCGGGGCTGAGCCGAGCCCTGCAGGCGGAGAGAGGCCGCTCCAGGGAAGGACGGAAGTTGTCCAGCTGAGAAAGAAGGAAGGAAATCGCTTTTTTCCTCT